GATTACGACCTATAAGTAGTTACTTTTTGTGGATTAAAACTTTAAGTGAGCGTAGAAAGTTCTGTAATGTTTTAGGATCAAGTTCTTGTAGACATGTTGGGTGTTTACTGTGGAGAGCTCAGCTAAAGGTAAGCTTTATAAATTTTTACCATCAATGATAATGAACAAGTAGGTGTGACTATTCTGGAAAAGTGTCATTTTGTGATGATATCATTGATCTGGATTACATATCATTTCAAATGCAAGAACTTTACCAATGGGAAGAAACAGATAATTTGTGACATGGAACTACGCAAATCTGCATGGAAAGTTAAACGTCATTGGATGATGTTAGTGTTGTTGAACCAAGCATGAAAATAATGTTTAAAATTCAGATGGATATTTCATATACTGAGAAGAAAAAGGGGATTAGCATCGAGCCATGCAGTATTCCAGTCATTAGAGTTCGACCAGCCTGATCTCACAAGGAAACGTAACTATTTTCCGTTTCGTCAGTTTAGTGGCTAATTGGTACGAATTGGTACGAGTTCAGTTTTACGAAAATGTTTGTTTTTAAAAAGGAGGCGTGATTCCAAACCCTATCCCTAACCAAAGAGCTTAGAATGACCAAGAGGCGACACTCTAGTGTAATTTGAGAAACAGCCACTAGAAGGTGCGGCGGCCATTTTGGAATGAAAACTCCAATAGAACAACAGCATATTATAAGTCTGTAAAATAAACTATTAAAAGTGCTGATGATTATGATAACAAATGTTGTATTGTCGTCTTTCAGGTTGTATCTCGGCTTTAATGCGGTATTTAAATATATAAATAAAAAACAAAGCAGCTGCTTGCCATTGCGACAGTAATGAGGTCCTATGGACGGCCGATCACTTTCACTCCTAAATGGCGGAATCCGGGACTGTTGCTGGGTGCTGCTGTTGCAATGGAACTATTGAGTGTCGCCTCTTGGTCATTCTAAGCTCTTTGCCCTAACTACAACCCTCATTGGGGGTAAGCAAATCATTTTAAATTGTACAAATCAAATTGTATGAATTGTGTGATTGTTTTGATTTAAACACCTCTCCTGGGTGGTTTCCATCAACGGTCATGCAAGCTGTTTCTGATCCATTTATTAATTCGTTTTCTTTTGGCTTAGTCCCTTTATTCATCAGGGACCGGCACAGCGGAATGAACTGCCAACTAATCCAGCATATGTTTTACACAGCGGATGCCCTTCCAGCTGCAACCCAGTACTGGGAAATATACATGCACACTAATTCATACACATACACTATGGCCAAACTGGAGCACCCAGAGGAATCCCACGCAAACACACCATGCCAACTGGCCCAGCCGTGACTCAAACCAGCGACCTTCTTGCTGGGAGGCAACAGTGCTAACTTTCTGATCCCATTGTACAAAATTTGTTGTGTTGTACCATAGACAGTGCTTAATTCGAATTTGGAAAATGTCAGATATTCATGTTTTGGGTTCTGGTATTAATTTGAATTGATCCTACATTAACTTGTGCAAGTGTGCAAGCGAAGGCTGTGTGGATTTTGTGTGCACGCACACACATGACGGTAGTCACCATGGGCAAGTTAAAGTAAAAGTCCCGATTAACTGTTGCCCCTCAACAATATTTTCAGGCAATCGCCTTTCTTTTGTTTATAATCCACTCATTGGTTGGTGATTGTTTTGCGCAGCAAGCAATGAAAATAAAGAATGGCCAACTTAAATAATATTTATTTTTTCAAAACGGCAAAGAGACAATCACGCATATTTTATTTTTTAAAACCACGAGTAAATCTAATAATGAAACAGTCCCTTAAAAGTCACGTCTTCAGTTTTTAAACTCCAGTGATCAGCGCTCTGGCACACCTCTTCCAATTGGGCTAGGGCCGGCCAAGTGAACCGTGCCTGAGCCCAGTTCAGAGCACTCACACTTCTCAAACGATCCGGGAAACTGGCCTGGGCACAGTTCAGACAGTATAGAGTACACCCTTGAAGTTTGCTGAACGTCGGTCACGGTAACTTTTATTTTCTGGTTTTGTTCTGGGAATTATTCATTTACAAATTAAGCACTTACCATAGCATAAAAGGGTTTCATTCGATCGGGTGGTACGATATAGGCATTATTTGACAGCTTTAGTGATGAGTTTTCATTGTCATGTTTATAAAACATGTCTTACTATTTTGTCCTATGAGAGCATTAATTAGATTTGCTGACATCATAATGTCATTACAGTATTACTTCATTAGGGAGGACTCAGCCATTTGAAAAGAAAATAAAGAGGATAACAGCTATATACTATCCGATATAAAACCAAAATGTGGAGGAAATGGGATTGGGGATGAAGTCTGATCAAATAAAACTATCCATCCTCCATGCCATTACGATCAGCAAGCTCTCTTTATGGCTGAAGTGCTGAACTTTGGGGCGGGAACTCAAAAAACAGGAAGGGATCGCAGCTGGCTTGAACTGATATCATAGCTTTCTCTCCTCTCTCCCACTCCATTACACTTAGCAAAAATTAGGGGGAAAGGAGGCATATGAGAGCACCAGTGGAAAGTGTGTTTCAGAGTTTGAATTCAGAGCAGGACTCGGTGCCAGAGATGACCTTCCTCTTCAGAAAATACAAACGTACCTGCTGCTGACATGTGGCTAGGACACAGGGTGTAGCCACACAGATAATTGAAATAAACTGTAAATGTTGCTGACAGCAGCTTGTAAAGGGGAGATTATGTTGCAAAGCCAATGTGTTGTGACGCTGGCAGGATTAGAAGGCTCACTTCAAATACTGGGTTTATTCTTGCTCTGGCACAACTTTGAATTATGGAAAGTTCAAGGGACCATAGAGTGTACCAAAGTCGTTTAATGTGATTGACAAAAAATGCCTTGAATTTATTCACCCAAGCCTGTATGATCGTTTTCCTGAAATATTTATATTAATACTATTTTCTTGAAATTATGGTTTACTACCAATTGGAGATAAATATTCTGTAACATCACTTCTTTTAAATATATTTTTAGTTTTATTAAAGCTTATCATATATAGTGGGGAAAATAAGTATTGAACACGTCATGTTGTTTCCTGGGAATAATATTTCTAAGGAGCTGTTAACATGGAAATGAGGAAGATTTTGGTAAAAACCCAAACAATGCAAACCTAAAATGTGTAATAACAATGGAATGAAACAAGGAGAAACTACTGAACTACTGAAATGTATTTTAATACTTTATAAATCCTTTTTTTTATTTTTATAATAAGGCAGCTTAAAGATGCCTCTTAGAGGAAGAATGCGTAATGTGTAAAAATCTTGATGGTTCTGTGGGTCTCATCTATCAAATCTGACATTTATTTTGTATTTTCTATTGGATTCTAGTCAGGTGATTGGCTGGGCTGGCATTCTACAGCTTGATTTTCTTTCTCTGAAAGCATTTTGAGCGTTTCCTTGGCTATATTTTGGATCATTGTCTTGCGGAAATGTTCATTCTGGTTTCATCTTCATCATTCTGCTAATGTAGATGTTGGACTAAAGCAGCGGATATTCATTTACCATGACGAAGGGTAGAGGGTTGCTGAATAACTACTGAGAGATTTCAGTTGCTGTCTGGGCTTTCACTGCCTTTCTACACCTCCCTTTCTTCATGTGTTCAATACATTTTTTCTGTGTCATTTCATTACTAATTAGATTTGTTTTCTGGACATTAATGGATTCCTTTGGTTGTTATCAACATTTGGTGGAAATTTCAAGTCAACAGCACCTTAATAAATATGTTTTCTGAGAAAAATGGTGACGTCCTTATTTTCCCCGCTGACGTCCTTATTTTCTGTCACAAGTGTATGTTTTTCAATTAAAATGTATACATCCCTAGAAAGATGAATAAATAAGTTTTCCGTTGATGGATCTCGGTTAGGATAAAGTTTTGATAAGCTACATCTATTTAAAAATCTAAACGTAAAAACATTGAGAAAACTTCCTTTTAAAGTTGTCCAAATTAAGTTCTTAGCAATGCACATCACCAATCAAAATTCATGTTTTGATACGGTACAGTAGGAAAATTATAAAATGCGCTCAAAGAACATTATATTTGCTTGTTATTTGCTTATTAAATTAATTTTGGCATATATAAAAATAATAAAATTAATTAAAAAATGATATATTAACCCATACACTTTTTTTTGCCTATTGCCAAAAATCTAACAATGCCAAACCTACGAAATGCAACAGTTCATAGTCCAGGGTCACACATATATTTAATTATTTGTAGTGATGGTGTATAATTCATGCAATTATGTATATTTAAAATATACATAAGTATAAAATATACAAAAGTTTTTTAATGCAATGTTTAACATTAACAAAATGCATATATATTTTTAAGTATATCCAATTGTATTGCAATGCAGTGGCGCAGTGGATAGTGCTGTTGCGGCACAGCAAGAAGATCGTTGGTTCGAGTCTCAGCTGAGTCAGTTGGCGTTTCTGTGTGGAGTTTGCATGTTCTGCGAACTCCCTTCGGGTGCTTTGGTTTCCCCCACAGTCCAAAGACATGCGGTACAGGTCAATTGGGTAGGCTAAATTGTCCAAAGTGTATGTGCGTGAATGAGTGTGTATTGATGTTTCCCGGAGATGGGTTGCAGCTGGAAGGGCATCCGCTGCGTAAAAACATGTGCTGGATAAGATGGTGATTCATTCCACTGTGGCGACCCCGGACTGATAAAAGGACTATGCCGAAAATAAAATAAATGAATATCCAATTGTAAGAAACATAAAACTCTTAACCAATTTACACCATCTGATCGATACAGCATATTGTGTGCAAGTGCTGTTTTTATATTATTATATTTATTATTATTATTATTATATTTTTTAAGATGTGAAATATATAGCTGCAGTTAATAAAACTGGGCATAATTCTCTCCCAATGGATCTGTTAAAGACTCGCTGATAAAGCTAAAACTCATGCTGAATTTGTGTATATTAATGTTTCTCTTCTCTGTGATTGGCAGATTACAACAGCAGTGATCAGAAGACAGCCTGCAGAAAGCATGATCTGTATGTGAGTTTCAGAGAATTGAGCTGGCAGGTAAGGGTCGAAGGATTTGTGTATTACAGATATCAGACTAAAGCTTCTCTGTACTGTAAACAAATGCTGGCTTTCACAAATAGATTAAGTCAAGTAAAAGTTAAAAGGGTTTTTACAAATGTAGGCGGATCGAACATAAAACAGTTGTCTCAGAAAAGTCTAAAGAATTGTGTTGTTTCATCTCATTTTAACTAAGTAGTCAAAAGTTTTTCGATATATATATATATATATATATATATATATATATATATATATATATATATATATATATATATATACACACACACACACTCACCGGCCACTTTATTAGGTACACCTTACTACTACTGGGTTGAACCCTTGGCATGGATTCAACAAGGTACTGGAAATATTCCTCTGGGATTTTCGTCCATATTGATATGATAGCATCACGCAGTTGCTGTAGATATGTTGGCTGCACATCCATGATGCAATCTCCCCGTTAAACCACATCCCATTGAATTGATCTGGTGACTGTGGTGGCCATTTGAGTACAGTGAACTCATTGTCATGTTCAAGAAACCAGTTTGAGATGATTCACACTTTATGACATGGCGTGTTATCCTGCTGGAAGTAGCCATCAGAAGATGGGCACGCTGTGGTCATAAAGGGATGGACATGGTTAGCAAGAATACTCAGCTGTGGCATTGAAACAATGCTCAGTTGGTACTAATGTGCCTAAAGTGTGGCAAGAAAATATCCCCCACACCATTACACCACCAGCCTAAACCATTGATACAGTGAAGGATGGATCCATGCCTTCATGTTATTCATGCCAAATTCTGACCCTACCATTCGAATGTCACAGCTGAAATCAAGACTCATCAGACAAGGCAACATTTCTCCAATCTTCGGTTGTCCAATTTTGGTGAGCCTGTGCGAATTGAGCCTCAGTTTTCTGTTCTTGGCTGACAGGATTGGCACCCAGTGTGGTCTTCTGCTGCTGTAGCCCATCCACCTCAAGGTTAGACGTGTTGTGCATTCAGAGAAGCTCTTGTGCATACCTCGAGTCGCTCACTGGATATTTTCAATTTTTTGGACCATTTTCTGTAAACCCTAGAGATGGTTGTGCAAGAAAATCCAAGTAGATCAGCAGTTTCTGAAATACTCAGACCAGCCCGTCTGACACCAACAACCATGCAACATTTAAAGTCACTTAAATCAACTTTCTTCCCCATTCTGATGCTCGGTTTGAACTGTGACCATGTCTACATGCCTAAATGCATTGACTACATTAACGAGCAGTTGAACAGGTGTACCTATTAAAGTGGACACTATATATATATATATATATATATATATATATATATATATATATATATATATATATATATACATACATAACAACAACAACAACAATGCAAATAATTATAAATGTGCAAGATATTTTTTTATTGCGTACAGTCATTTAAACTAAAAATTTATCTTTTTTCAGGACTGGATTATTGCACCTGAAGGCTACGCAGCAAACTACTGTGACGGAGAATGCTCTTTTCCTCTAAACGCGCATATGAATGCTACTAATCATGCAATAGTACAGACACTGGTGAGTCCTTCATCATATATTAAATAATAAACCCTGCAGACATAACAAAACAAGATCATATTATAGCAGCGAGATTACAAAAGGCAAGTAAATTCTCGCTTCATTTTTCAGGTCCATCTGATGAATCCAGAGAACGTCCCAAAGCCATGTTGTGCTCCAACCAAACTCCACGCAATCTCCGTGCTCTACTATGATGATAATTCCAACGTCATTTTGAAAAAATACAGGAACATGGTGGTGCGTTCGTGTGGCTGCCACTGACTTATGGGACATGCATCTCTCTGCCCAACTGCTGCACCCCAGAGACAGACAAATGTGTGTGAGGACTGACAAGACTGATAAAGAAAAGAGCAATATGAACTGAATTGTGCATCATGGTTTGCTGCTTCTCCTGGTGAAAACATACATGGGCGATTCTCATGACATTTCACATCCTACAAACTGCCAAGAGGATGAACGTCGCTGAATCTATGGACAGACATTTAACCTGATGACTGTAGTCTTAAAAGACACACAATGAAAATGTAAATTATGAGGTAAAATTCTGTCTCTATTTAATATTTTTAACAAACCGTTCTTGAAAATGGTCACATTATACATAATTTCCATTATTGAGATCAGTTTATGATGTTGCAAAAGTAGCACCATCATTATTCTTATTTTGCTGCTCATGAAACCCTGTGATAAATTAAGACAACGCTAGCATCTGCTAGCTTTAATTGTAATGAACAACTGGCTAATTTTAAACTGTACTCATCTAATTTCATCTTCTGGATTTAAAGTCTTATGTCTGTGTGGTGGTGATGCAGCATAGGACTGTTAGTACTTTGAAAATACTAAGTATAATGCTGTGCGCTAACAATATGTGGTTCCAGCTTCCAGAGACAAGCAGAACATTTTTTTTCCACTGCTCCTGAAACTCTGTTGAATGAAGAAAACGTTAGCATCTTCTAGCTTAAATTGTAAGGAACAACTAGCTAATTTTAAACCTAACTCATCTAATTTCATCTTCTTGGTTAAAAGGGTGATGTACCATAGGACTGTGAGTAGCCTACTTTGATAATACCATGCGCTAACAACATGTGGTGCGTTAAGATTTCAGCAACAAGCAGAATATTTTTTTCCGCTGCTCATGATACCCCTATGCTAAAATTAAGACAATGTTAGCATCTGCTAGAATTAATTGTAATGGTCAAATGGCTAATTTTAAACGTAACTCATCTAAATTCATCTTCTGGGTTTAAAGTCTTTCTGTTGCTGGTGGTAATGTAGCATAGGATTGTGAGTACTTTAATAATACCGTGCGCTAACAACACAGGGTGCGTAAAGATTCCAGCGACAAGCAGAATATTTTTCGTTGCTTATGAAACCCTGTGATGAATTAAAACGTTAGCATCAGCTAGCTTTATTTGTAATGAACAAATAGCTCATTTGTAACTTACTCTTTTAATTTTATCTTCTGGGTTTAAAGTCTTTATCGGGGTGGTGTTGCTGGTGGTGATGTAGCATAGGACTGCGAGTGGCCTACTTTGATAATACCATGCGCTAACAACATGTGGTGCAACAAGCACCATGCTCATGAAACCCTGTGATGAATTAAGACAACGCTAGCATCTGCTAGCTTTAATTGTAATGAACAACTGGCTAAGTCTTAACTTTACTACCCTATTTTCATCTTCTGGGTTTAAAATCTTCATCAGCTTGGTGTTGCTGTAGCATAGGACTTTGAGTACTTTGACAATACTGTGCGCTAACACGTTTTGTGACAAGAATCCAGTAAAGCAGAAGATTTCTCGCTGCACATGAAACCCTGTGATGAATGAAGACTACGTTAGCATTATGTTGCTGGGGTGGTATCGCTGGTGGTGATGTAGCATAGGACTGTATATTGGTAATACAGTGCGCTAACAGCATGTGGTGCGACAAGCTGAATATTTTTTGCAGCTCATGAAACCCTGTGATGAATTAGGGCAATGTTAGCATCTGCTAGCTTTAATTATAAAGAACAGCTGACTAATTTTTAACTTTGCTCACCTAATTTCATCTTCTGGGTTTAAAGTCTTTATGTTGCTGGGGTGGTGTTCCTATGGTGATATAGCATAGGACTGCAAGTACTTCAATAACACTGTACGCTAACAACACATGTTGTGACAAGAATCCAGCAACAAGCAGAATATTTTTTTCGATGCTCATAAAACCCTGTGATGAATAAGACAACATTAGCATCTGCTAGCTTTAATTGTAATAAACAAACAGCTAGTTTTGAAATTTACTCCCGCAATTTCATCTTCCAGGTTTAAAGTCTTTATTATGGTGGTGTCGCTAGTGGTGATGTAGGACTTAGGACTGCGAGTACTTCGATAATACTGTATGCTAACAGCACGTGGCGTGACAAGATTCTCGCAACAAGCAGAACTAGTATTAATACCATATGCTTACAAGATTCCAGCAACAAGCATTTTAGCTTCCCACACCAGAAACATTTAAATATCGGAACCTTCATAAAAACACGCCATAGTATTTTGTTTTGCTGTTCCAGCTGCGGCATCTAAGAAATAGAAGCTAAAATAGAAAGTTGATGTGTTTCCGTCACGAACGGACAAAACCCAACTGAAAAAAAACAGCTTAAACCAGCCGAGTTTTAGCTGGTCAACCAAGCTGGTTTTAGAGGGGTTTTGGCCACTTTCAGACTGGTTTTCAGCCATTTCCAGTCTGGTCTTAGTTGAGAGATGACCAGCTAAAACCAGCATGACCAGCCTAGCCAGGCTGGAAGCCCAGCCAAAACCAGCTATGTCCAGCTTAATCCAGGCTGGTCAAGCTGGTTTTAGCTGGTCATTTTCAAGCCTGACCAGCTAAGACCAGGCTGGAAATGGCTGGAAACCAGCCTGGAAGTGGCTAAAACCCCTCTAAAACCAGCCCTGTTGACCAGCTAAAACCAACCAACTAGTCTAGGCTGATTTAAGCTGTTTTTCAGCACGGAAAACATGCAGTAAGAACATGTTGTAGCATTCAGGAGACCGAGTTTTCTTGTTCTATGAGAAGACATTGCTTTTGAGTTAGTCTGTCAAGCTGTGAGACCTCACAGTAATTAGTCATTAACAATGGCTAGACAATAATGTTGTGAAGTACCAACTTTTAAAATGTGATACAGCGGAGCATTCAAACACAGACAGACATTACTTTAAAAAGCCCAAGTGCCTGAGGAATTTCTCTTTCTTCAATGTAGAAATGCGTGTTTTAAAATAAGCACTCATTATATATACAAATCTTGCATTTCCTTGTTACCTCTTTACTCACCTACCTTCTACTCAGTTTCCACACCAATTTAAAGCTACATATGCCTATATATTTTTAAGGGTTAAGGGTTTTTAAGGGTTGTTTCATGACCTTTCAAGGACACTTCTAGACATTTTGTTCTTGGTCTTTATCTATCTGATAGTTCCAGAACAATTGGTTTTTATTACTTTCAGGAACTTCCTCCCCAAATATAAATAGACAGAGTTCTACGAAGTTACAGTAGCTCTTTTATTTCAACAGAAACGTTGATTCTCTGTGTTCCTGTTAACGTGGAACATACAATTACTCTCCTCCGAAGCACAGGAAGCTATCTGCTGTTTTGTGTATTTTTTGATGAAGTCACTTGAAGCCTCAGGCCTCTATTTAAGGTCTCCAAAAAATCAATTTATTTTAAGTTTCTCAATATTTGCTCTGCTCTACCTGTGGTTTGCATCGGTGAGTCACAGCACGCTTCAACAGAGCTCAAAGAACAGAACCGTTATGCTGCCATTCCAAGGATGGAACTGTTTTTTGATGCCGTCCGACACCACAGATCTATATTTTCCCTTCAACACCTGCAGCTTGGATGGCTTAAGTCCAAAACCTCCCACAGGACATGAGGATACATTAAGGCTCTTCAGCAACAAAACTATATACTGTGCCAACAACCTCATATGGGCTGCCAAAATTTCCACCAACTCCTGTCAATATTTATTGTTAATCTTTTACTATACTATATTCTCCCCCTCTTCTCCCTACAGTGAGCTTTTGAAAGGTACACAATTCTTTCTGGACAAGATACAGTTGAAGTCAGAATTATTAGCCCCCCTGTTTATTTTTCCCCCAATTTCTGTTTAAAGGAGAAAATATTTTCTCAACACATTTCTAAACATGATAGTTTTAATAACTCATTTCTAATAACGGATTAACTTTATTTTTGCCATGATGACAGTAAATAATATTTTACTAGATATTTTTCAAGACACTTCTATACAGCTTAAAGTGACATTTAAAGGCTTAACTAGATTAATTAGGCTACCTAGGCAGGTCAGGGTAATTAGGCAAGTTATTATATAACAATGATTTGTTCTGTAGACTATCAGAAAAATATATAGCTTAAAGGGGCTAATCATTTTGACCTTAAAATGGTGTTTAAAAAATTAAAAACACCTTTTATTCTAGCCGAAATAAAGCAAACAAGACATCCTTTAGAAGAAAAAATATTATCAGACATACTGTAAAAATTTCTTTGCTCTGTTAAACATCATTTGGCAAATATAAAAAATAATTAAAGGGGGGCTAATAATTCTCACTTAACTGTATATGCATGTTGGAATTTTTTTTTTTAATTCTACTATAGGGACCGGATTATTTGGTTGTGAACAATTATTCTTCAACTGATGTGAATAAGGTTGTATTGTTGGTTTGCCAGTATAGGGTGTGTTTACATGATAGCATTTTCAACTTAAAACAGTAAACATGTCTTTTTTGAGTTTGAGTTTTTGAAAGTTATATTATTTTCAACAGTAAAAATTAATTAAATGTGGAATATATTAGAGGGTAGGTGGGGGATATATAAGTGTGGGTGGTGTGACCAAAATGCTACTTAGCTGTGTGAGCAATTTTATTTCACAGTAATGAAATATTTCAAGATGTAGTGTTTTAAATACAGTTGGGGAAAAAAAGTATTCACCATGTTTTGTTTTTTTTTCCCTGGAAATAGTATTTCTAAAGAACCAAATTTAGAAAAAAATAAAAAAACTAACAAAAAAAAACAATACAATCATATAAAACAGAAAAGTATATATTGTGGAATAACAATGAAATGACAAGAAGCAAGTGCTAAATTAATGAAATGTATTTAATATTTCATATAAAAGGTTTAATTGGGGGTGGCAGCTTAAAAACGCCTCTCTCTCATATGTAGAATGAAGTCACATTTATTGCTCAGGTGTGATTTTGTCACAGGCTTTAACAGAGTGTACAAATTTTGATGGTTCTGTGGGTCTCATCTATCAAGTCTGATCTTTTCTATTGGGTTCAAGTCAGGTAATAGGCTAGGCCATTGTACAGCTTGATTTTCTTTCTCTGACAGCATTTGATAGTTTCCTTGGCTGCGTTTTAGATCATTGTCTTGCTGAAATGTCCACCCTGGTTTCCTCCTGATAATGTAGATGTTGGACAGAAGCAGCTAATATTAATTCACAATGACGAACTACTGTGAGATTTCAGTTGCTGTCAGGGCTTTTACAGCCTTTCTACATTTCCTTCATGTGTTCAATACTTTTTCAAAGTGTCATTTAGTTTATTACACAACTTCATTTGTAAACTCATTAGATTTTTTTTTGCATATATGGATTTCTTTGGTTGTTATCAACATGCAGTGAATATTTCACGTCAACAGCACCTTTAGAAACAGGTTTTCTGAGAAAAATGTTGACGTGTTTAATACGTAATTCGCCCACTGTAGTGGATCTACTCCAGAAATATCAACAAATAAGACTTATAATATATAAAAGTAATACTTCTTCAGATATTTAATAACTTTATATGGTTATTCTGTACTCACAGTTAAGCTAAATCATAGCTAATTGTTCACCTCAGACCACTAACAAGATCTTACTACAAGTGCTCCAGTCAGAGTTAGTCACACTAACTTATTTGTCAATATACTTTGAATAAAATAAATCTATTAGTCGACAATTTATTCCATGTTAACGATATACACCCTCACACTTCCACTTCCAGCCCTTGTGATATACAACCCAAATGTTGTATTTTTTTAATGTAAATACACTGTTATTGTGTAAACATACCCTCAGATGAAAGTAGTACCACTTTTCGCCGATATTTTTTTTTTTTTTTTTTTTTTTTTTACAATTACCACCCCTAATTGTATCACATACCTCCTATAAACTGCTGTTTACATGTTTCAACCATATTTAGTTGCTTGTATGTATATACTTGTATATATGAGTTTATTTATTGCTCCTTTTATAAACCATATACCACAATGATCACATAACGAGAAAGGGAAGAATTAAAAACTGCTATTTTTGGAAAAAGACATTTTATTATGAAATCTGTCACAATGTGCCTTTTTTACTTTTGTACAAAAACCCCCGGGCAGTGTATGTACCCCTCTCTCACAGGACAAAAATACTGCGTTTTTCATTGAGGTCGGCCTTGACCACGTGCCTCCCATAAAGACTTCACTGAATATATGCGGTTTCTCTGATTGCTTTTCCCTTCCTTCTCTTTCAGATCCAGTAAAAGAGAAAAATAAACATCTCAGTGTGGGAACATTTGAAAGGAAAGATGTAAATTGCATCTCTTTAAATCAATGAAACCACTGGAGTGCATCAGAGCTTTAAATCAATGAAACTCAGCTATGCTAGTGTCTGAAATTCAAGAGTTTTAAACCGTAAATACTAACAATATTAAAAGTGGCTGACCAAAACTGCATCACAGACAACATTTCGAAAACGAATAAGTGTATTCAAATCAAAGAAAAAACCTGGAAAATAAACAAAAATCTGAAAATAAACTAAACTCGCTGTACCGTTTTCCCCATAAACTGTCAACTATACAGCAATAATGATCAACTCTCCATCAATTCACTGTGTTATCCTTGTAAAATTAACAAAAATGCATTATACAAAGCCAATACAGCGGACAGACCTAAAATGTCAACCCACTGATATCCCTATAAGCACTAAGAACGTTTAGAAGACAGATTAACCATTCAAAGTAGTTAACCAACCCTCCTTTCTGTAGAAATCCAGCTTAAACCACTATAAAGTGGCCTGCTGGCCATTGAGCCGGTTCGAATGTTGTGATTTTAATTATGGCTAACAATCTAAACCAGCTAGCTCGGTCATGTCTGGTTTGAGTAGATCTCTCAGACTGCCTAAAACATCTTTCGTCTGGTTGTTTTCAATAAAATCCACAACAGAAAGACTTAGTAGGTGGTCAAAGTGCTGTTTCCAAGTGTGTATCACACTGAACTGAGGAAACACAGAATAGACAACAGGTACGCCATTGTTTTCTAAAGATGGTACATTGTTTCCCTGAGGTCATATCTTCTTATTCTTAATTACAGATGAGGAAATTCAGCTTGGTTTGCAATAGGGTTGTCAAAATACTGGAATTCGGAACTAATAGATACTGAAATTTGAAAAATGTCCATTTCCCGCTAACATTTTAGCGCTCTTGAGTATATTCTTAACCTTTTAACAGGCATCACAACCACCTGATTGACCTTTAAGCCATAGGTTATCATCATTTTAATTGCTTATTAATATTTATCGGAGTTGTGCCAGCATACCTAAAGGTTTAAACTGAGCACTGATTTGACATTGTGTTCACGTGCTCAACAGAAATGACTGTGATTGGCCGTGAAGGTCATCAGTTCACCAAACTCACCGCTGTTTACTGTGTAAACACAGATACAGGGAAACTGGAGTGTTTTAAAGCCGCGATACATCAGCGGATCACTTTTATGTCAGCTTATAGACAAACTAGCTGATCGACGTGACTTTGAAATGCTCCAGTATCGGTGTATACACTCAGTAAACAGCAGTAAGTTTGGTGAACTGATGATCTTCACAGCCAATCACAGACAATGGCAAATCAGCTCCATTTAAGGATGTGCTCAAGCGGACGTTTTTAAAATTTAAATTGGTATCAAATTCCAATATCGTGCAACCCTATGACCGTTAACTATTACAAAAGACGCATCTTAAATAATAATAGTGTTACTTAAGGAAAAAAAGGGGCAAAATTAGGGTAATAATCTCAAATGGTCTTGAAGAAATGATGTACATTCACATTGTATCATGTGGAAGAGATTGTCCTCACTTCAGCAGCTGTGGAACAGAAATGAGGTGTGCCTGACAGTATTGTGAATGTAGATAGTGTTGTCTTGTGGAGGAAGGAGATGGGAAATAAGGGAAGGGTTACAGCTCGTCTCTTGCTTGCTTCATGATGAAACTGTGCAAGCTCTCTAAGTCCCGCCCTCCGTTATGCTCCTCCCCCTGCTGCCCCGCCCGGAACATTAGGAGTGTTGGGTAACCACGCACCTGAAATGATAAACAATCACAAAATCAGGGAATGTCTGGTTTCTGTTAAACATCTTAGTGGAGTTTTATGAAAATGTATGATTTTAGAGATGATTTAAGAGTTTCTTTAAAACTTTTGGAAAATGCCCACCTAGGTTCATGTGCATTTCATTAACATCCAAGAAGAACAAGTTAAGACAAATGTCAGTCACTAAAGAAAAGCATTGGATAAAAACGTTAAATCAAGTATTTGATCGTGTAAATCATTTAAAGAGCATCGACACAAGTTGTCTTAATTTCCTATGGTGTAATGGAATGTTCTGAAATGTGCAGTTTGTGGACACATTTTACCATCACTGGAGCTGTTAGCCATCTGGAAGCTTTTTGCCTACCCTTCTATCTTGCAGACTAAATCATTTCACATACTCCTTGCATCTTTCTATATGGCAAACCCTTCAGAATTCTACAATTGATCATTTCAATACAAAAAATAAATAAATAAATGAAAAAAATTCAACAAAATGTTAAGCATTTCCCACATTTTGGAAACAAACAATCCCGTCACGCTAGATTCATTCATTGATTAATTTTCTTTTCGGCTTAGACCCTTTATTAATCCGGGGTCGCCACAGTGGAATGAACCACCAACTGATGCTTATCCAGCAGCAACACATCTCTGGGAAACATCCACATACACACTTATTCACACTCATAGACTACGGACAATTTAGCCTACCCAATTCACTTGTACCACATGTCTTTGGACTGTGGGGGAAACCAGAGCACCCGGAGGACACCCACGCGAACACAGGGAGAACATGCAAACTCCACACAGAAACCCCAACTGACCCAGCAGTGACTCAAACCAGCAACCTTCCTGCTGTGAGGCGACAGCACTACCTACTATATATTTATTTATTTATTAGGAGTGTGATGAGACACTCATCGAGATGAGACAAAATTGGGTTCACGAGAACGAGACGATTTTTATAAAAAAAATTTGAATGCTCAATGATAAAATATAAAACGGAAAATTAATTTTTATTAAACTGAAAAAAAAAATAAACTAAAAAATAAACAAAATGCAAAATAATTTAGTTCCTTTTTAAATTACTTTTTATATAAAGAATACATCATTTTGTGTTTTTTTTCACTAAATCAGTCACATTCATTTGTGTACTTGGCAATTAAAAAGTTAAAATCCTTTAATATCCTAAACAATTTAGTAGTTTTGATCAGGACTGAGGACAAACAAATTGCAAAACAAACAAATTGAAAAAACTATTTATCTGATGCATTTTTACAGCAGTTTAATTCAGTGGATGTTTTCATCCTGAACATAAGAAAAGGGCAGCACATTTGAACAGTGCACAAGGGTTCATGTTAAGATGACAGTTTTAAAAATTAAACGTTTGACCCTTAACCAAGCCAAAACAACTCATTTGGCCAATCATATCAAAAGAAAGGAAATGTTTATGGTTCAGACTCCAAATAAATTGAACAAAAATATGAATTAAACATACCATCTGATAACTTAAAATAATAGAAACACTAATCGACTAACAGTTATGTCCTGCTATGCAAACTATTGGTTTGTAAATGTAATGTTCTAATGTGAAAAGTGATTCAGGTCATACAAAATAGAATGTGACGATCCCCAAAAAACCTACAATTCAACATCGTATGAACTCCTTCAATCTTATTTGTATGGATTTTAAAAGCTACGATTAATACATAACACTGACAAGCTGCTTGCTTTCACAAAAATATATCCAATTGGAATGATCAAAAACTAGAATATTTTGGTGGAAAGTAACTGACAGCAACATTTGCACAGCAATTCCCACTCCTGGCAGACAGTAAAGCTTGGGCCAGTTTCTGGAAGTGGCTGAAGAATGTCTTCATTAAAAAAAAAAAAAAAAAGCTTCTCTGCCACTAATACGTAGTTGTATCAACCCAATCCCTCAAACATCCACAATACTTAGTTACTCCCCCTGCTGCTGATCACTCAACAAAACTGCGACTTTGTACTGGAGACAAAATGTGTGAGACTCACTGAGAATCGGTTGCAGAGCGTTCTCTCCACTGTGCAGTCCACTTTGGCAATCTTCACATCAGTCAGCCCAGGAAACTCCTTCTGTGATAGATCATCCCAGGTGGGTGCCAGGTTCTTGCAGTGACCGCACCTTAAACAAATGAACATGTTGCTTGACATGCTGAACGACAGAGGTAGAGCTCGGCCAATCAGAGACAGGCAGGTCTTTTGATCAGCCATTAAGAAAGCTTTGAGATGATCAGAAGAACAGATAAAGGAGGGTACATTCTGTGTGTGAACACTTGTTTGTATATACTAATGTGGACTTAAAACTGAATGCACACACTCGTGGGGACTTTTGTCATGAATAAACAACACAGAATGAAGTATTTTAAAATGCAGATATTAACAATACAAATAACAATATTTACACATTTAAATAATCACCAAAACAATACTTGCTACTTATCACAAGATAAAGTAAGACCAAGCAGACAATTTGGCGAAACCGATTTGGTGGTCAAATTGGCAACATTAAGTTGGCAAGTTTCAATGTCTTAAAATGTTTAACAAAATATATATTTCATTTACAATTTAATTATTTAGATCATTTTAATGAGAGTAAACGTATGATTTCACTTATCGTCCTCTAATTTCTACACTTCTAACACCCTATTCACACGGGGCTTCAGCGTCAACGCTTTCCATTCACTTTGAATGGGTGACGTCAGGCATTGCAGAACTGCACTGTGGATCCGTCGATGCCGCTTCAGAGGTGTTGCTTGCTGCAGAAGTTGGACTTGCTCAACTTTTCAAGCACCGATGGAAGTGTCAGCCAATCAGATCGCTTTATGCAAATACACCAGACAGTGGCCTACTGCTGACTAATTTCATTGGCTGACGCTGCTGTGATGATTACATCAGCCCTAACTTCAGACACGCCCTCAGTCAAGCGTTGACGCTGAAGCCCTGTGTGAATGGGGTGTAAACTTCTGAGAGGAAGGATAGGTGTTGTACTACTGATGGAATTATACTTGTCCTTTCCTGGACACTGCAGCCTATTCAGGAGTGTAAGAGTACATTTGGATGTTCGAAAAATTAACTTATTAATACTCAAGTACAGTTTATGTTTTGCTTTATGTTTTCCCCAGTGGCGTAGCGCAAAATGCGGAGGCCCCCCTACAGGGATCACTGACGGGGCCCCCTGATTATGGGGGGGACGACAATGCAGGGAAGCGATCACAAATTGCGGAGCGATCACAAACTAAGGAGCGGGAAAGGGGGCGGGGTGGAGCGACAACGCGGGGAAGCCTTCACAAACTGAGGAGCAATCGCAAACCGAAAGCGCTGACAGCGTCAAAGTAGCAGAAGTCATTCATTTTCAATGAGAACCGGCGGCGAGAAACAGCGCGGCGCAGCTTTTCCGGTGTGGGCGTCGAGGGGAGTTGAAATCAAGTCAACTTTATGGTAATGAGCTATGACGTGGTTCGGCGGTAAGCAATCAAAATGAAGTAGTCCACCGTTTGAGAGGTGCTCAGAGAACACAGACCTTTGAACTTTGGTCCCGACCACAGTTGTTCCCAAGAGTTTGATTATTGCGATTGCCAGATTTTCAATTATTGAAGATCGCGACGACGCGGGGCCCACTAATCACGCGGGGTGCCCCCGCGGTGCTTGCCCTGTGGACCAGTCCGCTGCGCCACTGGTTTTCCCTATTCTCTGTGTATATATACACACACACAAAGTCATCAGGTACTACAATTTCAGCTACTTTTTAAAATTATAAACAGCACTGTTATTAAACTATAAGAAAGAAAAGTCAAATGAGACACTTCTACACTTACCATGGGGCATAGAACTTGATGAAGGAGAGTCCTTTGGCAACAGTCTCGTCAAAGTTGCTCTCAGTCAAGACCAGAACATTGGACTGAGAGAAATTAAGAAATAGAGATATAATTTTAGTTGCAACAAATTGTGCCTGCATTTAGCAATTTCATATTGTGTTACCTAATGCCTTAATTATACTAACAGCACAAAATTTCTGTTACAGGGCAGAACAGCTCACAGTATAAACCCTAGAGAATGCCCATCAGGTGATCATAATCCTAATGTAGTTTAAATACATCTGCTTCCTTAATTACAACATCACTTCAGAACGGTGTTTAAGACCAAGGTCTCATCTCGAAAGCATTGGCGAGTCTGATGGTTTACAGTCTTTTATACCTAGGGCTGTACAATATATCGTTTCAGCATCGTTATCGCAATGTGTCTAATCCCAGAATAAAAAATATTGTAATGCTAGATTTTTCCAATATAGTACAGCCCTATTTAAAACTATCATCCAACTAAAAGTGTTGTCTTTACTTAGAAAGTGGTAAAAGAGTCCCATGTGGGACATTCTTTAGCCATCTAACAAATCCAGCCTGCTAGAATCCCTTTATAAAAGACAAGCTTAAACAGGAAAGCCAATTAACAAAACAAAATAACAGCCCTTTAAGTTCCCCGCCCACCCCTTCCACTCCTGCCCACCAACCCACGCGCACGCACACATGCACATTTGCATCAGCAGGAGGAAATAGCTGCTCTGCCCATAATTACTACCTCAGCTTCAAGATGCAAATTTGCTTCTACAAGCCAAAAAGTCTGCAGCTCAAACATCTGTCCGCAAACACAAACGAATCAAATCTCGAATGGTGCCAAGCAGTACACAAAACCCATATTGTGTGAAAATGCAGTCACACACCTCTTGTTTCTCAGGTTCAGCGCTGGGTGGGATTTCGTGAGTGTGCTCCTCCTCTTTCTCGGGTTCATCTTTAGATTCAGCAGCTTTCACATGGTTATCCACAAACTCTTTAAACGAGTCCAGATCACGCTTTCCTTTGTACTGATCGATCTGAAAACATACAGCGTATACACAGCTTACCATTGTTGTTCGGTGTAAACAATATAATTTCCTTTGAATAGTCCCCATTAGCCACTCCCTTTGGTAGTAGCTAATGGGGTTCCTGATAAAATAAATAAATAAATAAATAAATAAATAAATAAATAACATTTATGACACCACCTACTGACAATTTAAAAACAATTCATAATTTTTTTTTGGATACGATTCATAGCTATTTTAAATTATGTTGAATATCCAAATAAACATACACATTCGGTCATATGACCAACTCAGGCTAAATTTAAAATAATCATACAATTTAGAATGACTACAATACTCACTTATACAAAACTTGAATGTATATAAAAAACAAACTGGCCTGTGCAAAAGCATAACTGGTCTTTCTATTGTCACAGTGTTTTAGGGGCAGTTCACACAAAAATAAATATTACTATACATCATGTTTCATATCATTTGATATCGATTATTATTGAATATTTTTTTAACAATACATTTAGGAATATCAGGATTTTTAACTACTTTATTTTAATTTACAAAACTTTACCAAGGCAAATAGTTAATAGTCAAAAACAAAAATATTTAAACAAAATCTCTGATCTCTCGTTAAAGAAGAGACTCTTAGACTTGATAAATAAAATGTTACAAAAGTGTGTGCAACTAAGGCAGATCAACTTATGTAAGGTGTGAATAATAATGATACAGCTCCGTAAACAAAAATTATGATAATAAAATCTGAGTTAAGTAACGGAACCAACCATCATTATTCAAATCCATGCTGAACATTACAAATTGTGAAGCTGAATGACTAGATTACCCCCTATGCTAAAAAAAAACTTTCAGATGGGGAGCTAGTGGCTGAGATGCACAAGAAAAAAAAACCAAAGTCACACTGGCGATCCTTTTTTCATGAGTTCACACTTGCAGTCGTTTAAGTATAAGGTGTATTTAAGTACAATGAGGAAACAAAGAGGAGTTGGGATTTGAGTGAAGTATCTAGCCCGGCCCCAGAACGCTTCCCCCCGGGAATGTAATGCTAAAGGCTGATTTATACTTCTGCGTCAAACTTGTTCCTGGAGGGCCGCGTATGCTACGGCGCTGACGCATAGCCCTTCACCGTGGCCGTCGGTGTCGCTGACGTGCACCTCTCAAAAAAATGTAACTACACGTCGCAACAACGCATAGCGCAAGCTCTGTGATTGGTCGGCTTGGTAGCGCCGACGAGTCTGGGCGGGACCGAGAGCCGCGCGCATGGCGCGAGCGATTGTTTACAAGTGTGGAGTCCCGTGAAGGAGCTCCGGATGGAAAGTTTTGTTTTGTGTTTACCTCATGGTTAAAGTTGTTGCACGTCCGCCGGTTCCTGCTTCAAAATGAGCGAGTTTGAGTCACTTGTACATCCAGGAAGTGTTCAGAAAAGCAAAACAGAATCGAAGAAACTCGACACAGAGGAACATTAACACCTCACTGCCCACTAGCGTTTCAGAAGTGTTAATGCAGACCAACAGAGACAGCGCGCAGAAGTATAAATGCACCGCTGCGCGCGTTGCCTGCGCCGTGAGTTACGCCGGTCACTTGAGGCAGAAGTATAAACCAGGCTTTAAGAGGTGAGGTGTCGGGGTGGTGGAGGGATGCTAAAGTCATGAGATGCTGCAGGTAAGACAGCTTTGGTGTATATATAGGGGTTTGTTCAAGAACTGATTTGATAATAGAATAATTGTCAATGACTTATTCGATACTGAAACTTCCTCCCGAAATATGTTCACAAAACATTACTTTTTTTACAATCTCCTCACTGCTGCTAGCCACTGCACTTATTTTTGCATGTGTTGTTATTCTGACCTGAAGTGAGAAGCGCAAACCCTGGCATCTCTTTTAACTAGGTGACCATCAACCGTTTTCTCAGAGGATGACAAACGGACAAACCATTGCTGCAGCTTTGATGCAAGTTTATAGAGAAAAGTCAAAAGCACTGTAGTGTTTGGGTGCGCAGTGTTTGTCTGAGGTAATTAGTCTGCCGTTATTACTGAAATGTGTATATTGCATATAAAGCGTAAAGCAGATTGGTTAATTGTCCTTGCATGAATTGTAGTGCACTTGCAGCATTTGGAAAAGATCATATGTTTTCAACTGAGTGCGCCTTGAAAATGCATGTGCCCGTCCCTCCCATATGTGTGCAGTGCAAGTCGAGCACCTCCATTGAAAATGATAAACCTACACTCTAAGCCAGGGGTCACCAAACTTGTTCCTGGAGGGCCGGTGTCCTGAAGATTTTAGCTCCAACCCTAATCAAACACACCTGAACAAGCTAATCAAGGTCTTACTAGGTATACTTGAAACACCCAGGCAGGTGTTTTGAGGCAAGTTAGAGCTAAACCCTGCAGGGACACTGGCCATCCTGGACTGAGATTGGTGACCCCTGCTCTAAGCTTTTTGGCATTGCTTCCAAAGCACACGCTCAGCAGCCACATTTTAGTAACATTATAGTGATTCATACCGAATCTTTTTATTTTTTTTATTTTTATAATCAAAATTGACAACGGTGTTTGGTCAATAAATACAGATTTTAATCGGCCAGCCCTAGTTCACACCTAACAATTCCTCTCCAATGCGCTACTTTTCTATTGTTTTTCAATTTAAACACACACTTAACAGACGTGTTTGAGAATTACGCTGACGTCTTTTAAAGTGTCACATTTGGGATTGCTGTGTTTTTTGGTGTCAAGTTGTAAGATCTTTAACTTTCATACGCAACGCAGCTCATCACTGTCTGACCCAAAAGCAGTGGACCAATCAGAAGAGCTCGGAGGCGAGGCAACCGTTGCAAGCATCTGTTTATTAGTAGAAAGTTGGCATGACAACGGTGGTTTTATTAATCGTTATATAATGGCGGAGGAGGCACTCAATGTGGCTTTGTCCAGAATTTACAGAAGTTATATAACGTATCTTCAGGTGCTTATCATAAAATATTGTTTTCCTATTTCTAAAGGGTCCATTGTTGTCATTATTACATTACATTTAATATATATATTTATTATAGATATAGAGCTGGGTGCACCTCAGAATGGATTTAGTGGACTCAGGCACGGCTCCAAACAAATCGACGCTGTTTTTCAGCCTTCCTAAAGCACAATAAACGAAGCTATTCTCTCAATAAAATCCATGTTAGCCATTTAGCAACCAAGCTAGAATCTTAGGGCTGACAGCCCCGGGCTGACGCGATCATCATAGCAGTGTCAGCTAATGAAATTAATCAGCAATTGGCTCCAGTCTGAGCTGGTGCATTTATATTACAGCGATCTGATTGGCTGACACTTCCGTCAGCACTTGAAAAGTTGAGAAAGTCCTAACTACTACAGCGAGCTTCGCCAGGGAAGCGGCGCTGACGGATCCACAATGCAGTTCGGCAACACCTGACGCCACCCATTCAAAGTGAAAGGGAAGCGTTGACACCCCGTATGAATGGGTGTTATTTGGGGTTAATGTATCAAAAAGTAACAATAAAGTAGTAATATTAACAGTATACACAATAAATGTACATCCTAAAACATTAAGCCTGTCCTTAAATGTTCTTACCTTTTCTCCATCAGTGAAGAAAAGTAGCGTTGGATAACCACGAACCTGATTATCTGAACACACTTCATAGTGCTGAGTACAATCAACCTTTAGCAAAACAAAAAAAACAATAAATAAAATCACAAACCAGAAAAAAAAAACATCAAACAAGAACAACCACGGTGGCCTTTCTCACCTTGCTAATCTTGATACTGTCTGAGTGCTCAAAGCTGCTGGCGAGCTGCTCCCAGGTTGGAGCCATGGCTTTGCAATGCCCACACCATGGTGCAAAGAACTTTACAAAGTGAGAACCTGCAAAAGAGAACAGCACTGTTACAAACTCTATAAGAAATAATATATCATATATCTCAAGTATGATAATATCCTATGCTTGGCTTTTATCAAAACCATTAAAAAAGACCATAAATAAATACATTTGTGTTGCAGACTAAACATTTTTTGCATGTAGAGGAGCACATTTACAATGTCACTTCACAGCTTAACCACTCAAGATTCACGCCACCCACCGCTATGTGATGTTACAGAGCTATTTTTCAACTGAACCATCACAAATTGTCTCAACTATGCATACACAGAACAGTTCTGGAAATGTGGAAGTGTTCTGATTTAGCGTAACACAAATGACAGCATGATAAATGAAGATGTAAATGAAAAACTTGGCAAGTTCGACATAAGAGCTATGCAACATCATTTATGTGTACTTCCAACATCTGAAAGTGGGAAACATATAAAGCTCCGTCAAAGTCAGGGCATCATTTCCTGCCTCTTTATCAAAAAGGATTCATTTATTTGGCAGATGGACCGAACATGCAACATAAAAAGAGAGTTTGAGAGTGTTTGAAACTGGCAGCAAATATCAACAGTAAAAATGGAATTTGCTGTGGTAGGAGAGGCTGCGTGAATCTTTTCTTCATTTAATAAATTACTTGCGCCTCAGAAGACAATCCTGACACACAGGTGACGTGTAAAGAAGAGAGACGCACAAACGCTCTTGGTTCTGGAGGTAATTAATAATATAATACCACTAATATTGAAATGGTTACGGCGTTTTAGTATGACCAAAGCAACATTTCAGGGGCCTCATGTATCAACGCTGCATACGCACAAAAACTTTGCGTACGCTAGGTTTCACGCTCCGAATTGCTTACGTTTGGATTTTCTAACGATGAACTGAACGTGGGAATGTGCGCAGCTCCACGCCAACTTCATGGCTGGCGTACGCACATTTTTTTGTGCGTGTCTGTTTTATTTCCATTGGCGACTCCTAGAGGCAGTTGTGTTAAATTGCACTCTACAAAGTGTCTGAGCCGTGCAATGGCAGCTGTATGAGACGGGATCATCTAGGAGGTATATAAGGTTTCCATACCATGTAGTTGACCAGCCAAACATTAAAGCGCAATTCGCAGCTATCGCCGGTTTCCCAATGTAATGGGAGCTATGTACTGCACGCACATTGCTATAAAGACACTATCTGAAGATGAATTTGCATGCGTGAATCAGAAACATTTCAATAAATGTGCAAAAAAATATGATGCACAGACTAAAAAATTATTCCTATTGGTCTTCGTCGTGATAAATAGTAGGCAAAATCTGATATGAAGCAGGGAAAAAAAAGAAGAATGACTTCATTAGACGCTAGATTCGAACCGAGTTCATGCTCGAATTTGTCAAAACATGTTGACGTGTTTTATAAGCTGCGCCACCCAGACTGCTAAGGGCACTATAACATTTTGCACTAATACATCTCACTATTTCTATATTTTAATTCACTCAGTGTGATGTTCAGATTTAACTGTTAACCGCATCAGCTAAACTCTTACACTCTATTTTTTTTCTTTTGTTATTAATTCCTTAGGACAAACTTGCAAATAACAGCGTTTTTCTCCGGTCTACCTCCGAAAGCAGCACCTCCAATTCACATTCTGTTTCAAGTTTCTCTTTTTGCTTGCTTTTGCTTTTTCGTTGGGCTTTGCCAAAGTAGAGTCATTAGCATATTCATACGGGGGGGGGGGAGCAGGAAGGGGTTTTGCGCTTGTGCATGTTGCGCTCAGTTTCACGTTAATTCGGATGTACAAATAATATGCGTGGGATTAGGCATACGCATCGTTTCATACATCTGATTTTTTTTCTGCGAACGCACATTTACAACTTTGTACGTACGCAATGTTTTAGTACGATTTCCACGCAAGTCTTCGTACATGAGGCCCCTGGTGTTTTACAAAGTGCTCAGCTTGCTGGTTTGTCCATTCACACACATTTTTATCATCACATGATCTCTATAACAAAATCACATGACCTTTTTTAACGCACATACTGGAACTTGTTCTGTAAAAGTGTTATGCTCATGCATTTTTTATGTGCATTTTCAAAATGGTTGTGCATCTTGACACTTCCATCAATCGATTATTAATGCGCATATCCTAAATGTGCATAAAAATAGGTGGATGGAAACGTAGCTAGTGTGCTTTTTACAATGCATGAATTTGAATGTTCTAAGCACATTGGCGTGATGGTACACACCAGGGGGCAACCTAAATTGATCAGAGTGCTGTGATTGTATGAGTCAACGTGATACGATTATAAGCCGTTTCCTGGTTTTATGCAGTGATATGACAGGATGTAATCTATGACTCAGACTCAGTAGGTCTGCCCACAACTCGGTCTCCTCGGATGAGAATCAGAATGCTCTAACTTTTTTTAAATAATAAAAAAACTAAAGATTTTTAAGAAAAAAAGTGGATGCAGTACTGCTTTAAAGGCACTAGATTATTGCGATTGAGCATGTAACATCCCCTTTAAATTGTTTGTCATTCAAAAATTGAAGAAGTCGCAGGCTGATTATGAGCTTCTACCTTTAGCGATGTGTGATTTGAAGTTTGTAGCTGTGAGTTCATACAGGCCCTGTTTGGGTTCGGGTACTTTGGGTGGCTCTGGTTCACTCTGGGGCTCCTGGTATGAAAAAGGGACAGATAAAATAAGAACAAACTATTTAACAGTGACAATTACAAGACCTCGACTAAATACTCAAACTAGAGTAATTTGATTACTTCAGGTTCCTCCTGCAAGGTTTTTAACATCCAGTTCTCCAGGGCCTGCAGGTCTCGTGGGCCCTGATACTTCACAGCCTCCTGCTCAGGTTTAAACAACTTCAGACTGTAAGACAAACACAGGACAGTTAGCCAGTCAATGATTAATCAAACCACATTTAACTTTTACCATAAGCACATGACTGTCAGGTTAGTTGATCATCCTTTAAGAGATGGTTGGAGGAGATAATGTGCTGTTATAAACGGTGCTTACGTTGGGTATCCACGGATTCCATGTTCAATGGAGCAAAACTTAGTGTCTTTTGTGCAGTCGACTTTCACAACATACGCAGGAGGAGCCTCCATACTGTTATATTTGTCTGCCAACTCATTCCAGGTTCCTTGCAGCCTCTGACAGTGACCACACCTGTACACAACAAACATGAACACTTTTAGCACTATGTAGACACTGTTCACTAGGTTATTACATATACATCTCTTTATATTACAAAAGTTATTTTAGAAGATCACTAAATCTGTTGCAGTGAAATGCTCTAAGATGTAAAAAATCTAAATAAAAATAATTGAATTAACTTTTATTATACACTTCACATTTGAGAAAAGAAAAATGTCCAACAGGAATATTTAGCTCTTCAACATGTCACTTTAAAATTATTTCATTTTTAAAAGTAATACACATAGGTGAATATGACTTAACAATAACTATTTTGCAGTTTGTGCTCTCACCATAATGTGCACACATTAAAAAAGTATTCTATATATAATAAGATATATGTTGTCATATATACATTCACCGGCCATTTTATTAGGTACACCTGTCCAACTGCTCGTTAACACAAATTTTTAATCAGCCAACCAAATGGCAGCAACTCAATGAATAGGCAATGAGTGGCAATTCTGTGGGTGCAAATGCCTTGTTGATGCCAGAGGTCAGAGATGAATGGCCAGACTGGTTCCAGCTTATAGAAAGGCAACAGCAACTCAAATAAGCACTCGTTACAACCAAGGTATGCAGAAGAGCATCTCTAAACGCCGTCGAACCTTGAGGCGGATGGGCTACAGCAGCAGAAGGTTGGTATGGACAGGAAACTGAGGCTACAATTGACACAGGCTCACCAAAATTGAACAATAGAAAATAAAAATAAAAACATTGCCTGGTCTAATGAGTCTGGACTTCTGCTGCAAAACTTAAATAGTAGGATCAGAATTTGGCATCAACAACATGAAAGCATGGATCCATCCTGCCTTGCATCAACGGTTCAGACTGATGGTGATGGTGTAATGGTGTGGGGGATATTTTCTTGGCACACTCTGGGCCCATTAGTACAAACTGAGCATCGTGTCAATGCCACAGCCTACTTGAGAATTATTGCTGACCATGTCCATCTCTTTATGACTACAGTGTACCCATCATCTGATGGCTACTTCCAGCAGGATAACGCACTAAAGCGCGAATCATGGTTTCTTGAACATGACAATGAGTTCACTGTACTCAAATGGCCTCCGCAGTCACCAGATCTCAATCCAACAGAGCACCTTTGGTACAGTATGTGGTGGAACGGGAGATTCACGTCATGGATGTGCAGCTGACAAATCTGCAGCAACTGTGTGATGCTGTGTATCATGTGGATATGGACCAAAATCTGAGGAATATTTCCAGTACCTTGTTGAATCTATGCCATGCAGGATTAAGGAAGTTCTGAAGGCAAAAGCAGGTCCAACCTGGTACTAGTAAGGTGTACCTAATAAATTGGACGGTAAGTATATATTTTTATATACACACACAAAAAGATACTGTATCTTTGTAAAAGGCAAATTAATGCACACTGTGCATGAAAACACAGATTTCTTTTCTTTTTTTAAACATAACAGTGTTAAGTTAATGCATCTACAATACTGTAGTGAGGTGATAACGAGGCACTTTAAATAAGCCCTATCATGGCACAGAATGAGAAAGTAAATATTAAATATTTTATGGTCAAATCCAAAAACTATTCCTAGAATTTTTTTTTTTTTTTTTTTCTGATGAGGAAGTGATGTCTGATGTCATGGCTGTTCTTGTTCTGCCACGTACACTAAAACTTTATGACTGCAGGAATTTTAACTTTTTAGCCAAAGTCCACTATTATAGTTTTAACTAATCAACGGGCATTTACATGAACGAACATCGCAAACTTTGCATGCATTTTATCCCACAACTGATTTCATAATGAACGTGCCTGCAGACTTAAAGTGGCTGGCGAAGTTGATCATGAACAAATCTCAGGAGTTTAAGCCAGAAGTAACACGAGATATATCTCAATGCATTCACCACTTAATGTAATATCACATATTAATGCATAAAGTGTTTGTTGAAGGTGTTCAGTTTTACCAGGGCGCGAAGAACATGACGAAGTGTGGAGCGGTAGAGATGGCATCATTGAACATCTCCACCGTATATGTGTGTTTGGCGTGCTCGTCCTCCTCTGTGTCATTGTCACATGATAATCTACTACATAATAGCGCCAGATAAATAAAACTCGTTAAAAACGGCTTCATGATCAACACTGTCCGGGCCTGCGAATGAAGCGGAGCGGTGAGTTTATATGAGTGTGTGAGTGCGTGCGCCGCTATGAGTAGAGAGAGTTGATATCTAGAACACCCAAAGAGCAATTATCACTGCTCCGGCGGCGAGCCGTATGATTTGTAGATCTGATCTGGTGCGCATGCGCCCTTATCAAGTCCGCACATCCGGGGCACCGCTGTACGGAGGCTCATGAGAGCCATGAAGTTTTACAGTGCATTTCAGGAATATTAATTGTGCTAAAATATACAGAAAATTAAGAAAAATGTATGATTTTGTGTGGTTTTATTTGTGACTCCCATGCAAGTGCGAAAGACCCAATCCTATACTAAATGTAAAAATACTTTGTATAGCTTATTGTATGAATCTTATATAGCAGTGGTCACCAAACTTGTTCCTGGAGGGCCGGTGTCCTGCAGATTTTAGCTCCAACCCTAATCAAACACATCTGAACAAGCTAATCAAGGTCTTACTTGGTATACTTGAAACATCCAGGCAGGTGTGTTGAGGCAAGTTGGAGCAAAACCCTGTAGGGACACCGGCCCTCCAGGACCAGGATTGGTGACCCCTGTTATATAGCCTAAGTCTAAACCAGGGGTGTCCAAACTCCGTTTCTGGAGGGCCAGTGTCCTGGAGAGTTTACTTCTAACCCTAACCAAACACACCTGAACCAGCTAATCAAGCTCTTACTAGATATACTAGAAACTTCCAGGCTGTTGAGTTGAAGCTAGTTGGAGCTAAACTCTGCAAGACAGCCCTCCATGACAGAGTTTGGACACCCAGGTCTAAACAATGAAAATTGCTATTTATTTGTAATATTTTTGAATTACTAACATTTCTAATTAAAAAAAGTTTAAGATATGAATTAAAAATGTTTAGTTTATATTAATGTTTAATTAGCCTACATTATAGTAAACTATTTTTTAAATAAAAACACCCATTTATTTACATATTATTTTATTCTAATGATGTTATATATATATATATATATATATATATATATATATAAATATGTATGCATATATGTATGTATATATGTATGTACATATGCTTTTCATTGACTGAATGTATAAAACCAACAAAATGAGCCAATATTCTGGGAAAACCTCTTTACAAATATAAAAAATTAACAGCCAATAAATATTGGGTTGTTGTGGATTAATAAAGGGACTAAGCCAGAAAAAGATAATGAATGAATGAATGATATGTAATATTTTACTAACCGACAGGTTCATTTTCAATATGTTCTAAACCAGGGGTGTCCAAACTGATTGTGGTTGGAACTAAACTTTGCAGTAAACCGGCCCTCCAGGATCGAGTTTGGGCACCCCTGTTCCAAATGTTTAGCATCCAACAAGTCAATTAGCTGGATTATTTTTTCTTTTTCCTTTCCACATTAATCACTACACAATGCATTACAGAATGTGATTAAGGTATTTTCAAACAAACAAAGAGACAAATCAATTAAGATGAAAATACATTAGTGTAATATCAAAATGCTTATTAGTGACTTCTTTAATCATGTTTTTTTTTTCCAATGCGAAGCCTAAAGCCCTAATAATTAATTAAATAAAAGAAGTCTTTAAAAACTATGCAGCATCAAAACATTGTGAATAATAATAAGTAAACAATAATTATTTTGGCAAGAGGGCAGCAATACTAAAGCTGCAGTCCTTGCCAAACACCATTAATTAGAATGGAGGACAAGCTGTTTATTTTCTTCATTCGCTAAAATGATGGATAGAGATTACTAACTATGATGTGAGTGAGAGAGAAAATGCGAGAGCGAGCAAATGTGGCAGACTGTCATGCTTAAAGAATGAAATAATACCACAAATGTCAGCAGAATTTCAGCAGTCAGTTACCGTAACCATAGATACAGCACATTATTTCAGTGTTTTTAATATTCAGTAATAAGTATTTCCTGACAATTCATCTGAGAGTAGACCGTTTCTGCCAAATAAAAATTAATGAAGAAAATGTGCTTTTGTGAACTTGCACATGGTTCATCAACTAAGCTAAACACCATTGCCCTGTTCTTCAGGATATCCTTTTAAACACATTGATCTGAAAAAGATTCATCCTTATTTTCCTCATGCAAAACTGTCGTATACAATAAAAATGGCATCACTTATTTACTTTTAGAAATTTTTTTTTTGGTTTTCTTTAATTTTTTTAAAGTAAGATATAGCATCTTCTTGCTTAGGTTGAAGTTCATGGCTGAAGGACACATCCACTTACAAGGAACGGATGCTGACAAACAGCTATAAAATCCGCCATGGGAAAACCCAGTACAGCAGCTCACGCCAAGCAGTCGTTATGGAAACAATCTCAGACAGGCTTTCATCTGGAATGGATGGTCACGGCACTGAGAGGTTACCATGGCTATCAGTATTGTATTGGGGTTTTATGGGGTCTCTTCTGCTGAGAATCTAATCTCCAGCCAGAATTCTGCAGGAAATCTGCTGGAATTATCAGTTTTCCTTTCCCGTCTGGGATACATGCGGCGGGAATTCTTGAAAGAGCAACACCTGTGTCTAGACAACCACGCACACAGTTCAGGGAGGGCATGTTTGAAGCTTGTCTTGTACTTGTTTGTATATTCTTGGTGAGCTGATTCTTCTGCACAGACTAAAGAGGACTTTACCCTGGATGTATTTGCCATGGGGGCCTAAGTCTGAGTGTAATTGGTTTCACACTCACTTGATTCCATTGGTGCAATTGACCCTTTGTAGCAGTTTGATTGACAGGAAATATGGCCAATCATAATGCCAACGTTCTGTGCCCCTTTCACTGCTCTCCATGTTGTCCAACAGGCTTCAGTAGAATACCATTGGAAATTAAGTAAAGTTTATTTATAAACAAATTTCGAGAGGATCACGTGCTTATGATTGTTCACAGCTGTTCCAGCTTTAGCTGATTATCCTATCAGACGATCCTTAACTCGCTATAAATAACCAGACTTTTCTCATCGCAATATCTTCGTCTCGAAGAAACCCCCTCACCCAACCCTACTTTCCCTCCTTTCAAACGGGCGTCACGGTGGCCAGCGATTAGCGCTGTTGCCTCACAGCAAGAATGCCCCTGGTTTAATTCCTTTCCAAACCAGACGACATTTCTGTGCGGAGTTTGCTCGTTCTCCCCGTGGTCGCGTGGGTTTTCCCCGGGTCCTCCGGATTCCTCCCACAGTTCAAAAACAAGTACTCTAAACAATTAAACCAAAATATTTTAGCTAAATTCTGAGTACACCTACAGCATCCATATTTGAAACTTAGCTACAATAAGCAAGAGGGGGAGTCATCGAGATCTACCTGAGTTCAAACTCCCCTCTCGCCTTGCAACGGGAGGGAGCCCAGGGCTCAAGGATCTTATAAGCTCAGGGCTCTCTCAGGACAGCACGCCAAACTAGCCTCATTATCAATCATCAGCAACTCTTGAAAATGAAAAAGGGTGAAAATGTGCTCATATGGGACTTACAATGCAGATAGCAGGTCCGTGGAAAAGCTGGGCAAGATTCAATTTCCCAAAACCTAGAGAAGTTTATGACATGGATATGTTTGTGTGGCCAGCCTCATCAACAGTCAATCAATGAGAATGGCTCTTGCTGAACGAATGCTTCAAAATGCAAGGACTCGAGATTAATGAACTAATCTTTTCTGTTATTGAACCACCACATTCAATCAATCGCATAACCATCATTTATGGAGTCGTGATTTGTGACGTGGCAAAAGATTTATGTGAGGATTTTGACCTGAGGAAGGAGACAGGTTAGAGGTGCTAACCTAAACTGTAAGCCTGAGCTGTATTCCTGAAAATAGGGTAGGGTAGTGTTGTTGAGGATATGCAAGTGGATAACCTCATCCTCTGGTTTCTAAAACACATGTAAGTTTCAGGGTATGTGTTTAGGTACAATAACTTATAACATAACCATCTGCAGGCACAGGAAGTCAACATGACGTCATATTGACATTGTACCCCAACATTACCTCAACGTTGTGGAGATGTTCGATTTTGTTTGGAAATGAAAAACGGGTTGACGTCAATGTCCAACCTAATATAAACCTAAAATCAACCAAAAATCAGTGTTTAATAATGTTACATCTTGATGTTGTGTGGATGTTACCACTATGACATCAATCAGCTGTTAGATTTTGGTCACTTTCCAACACAACCTAAATTCAACCAAATATCAACATAATTTGACGTCATTATTGGAAGTCAAAATAACATTGTCCTTAGATGCTGGCTAGACATTGAATTTTGGTAACCCGATGTCATGACCTTAACATAACCTAATATTAACGTCTTATGATGCTGTGTGCTGGGCTACTCCAGAGCATGTTTCAAGGGTAGTTAACCTCAAAGCTATACTCGGTATGTGTTTCTTTCCTATATTTCGCCAATTCTCAATAAAACTCTATTATAATGTTTATTTGTAGTATGATTTAAATGTGTTTATAAAAGAAAAAATGCTCTGTTTTATTACTGCTCCAATATATTTGTCTGTGTACTTACAGACAAATACACGCAAAAACAGTGGAGTACTATAATCCAAATGTTTCTTATAGAGCAGGGGTCAGGAACTATAAATTTCTTTATGGGATTTAGCAAAGAAGGTCAAGGTGCTCCAGAATTGGCCAGCCCAGTCACCAGATATGAACATTATTGAGCATGTCTGGGGTAAAACGGAGGAGGCATTGAAGATGAATCCAAAGAATCTTGATGGACTTTGGGAGTCCTGCAAGAACGCTTTCTTTGTTATTCCAGATGACTTTATTAATGTTATTTGAGTCACTGCAGAGATGTATGGATGCAGTCCTCCAAGCTCATAGGAGTCATACACAATATTAATAATTTTTCCACTCCACCATGACTTTATATTCTATACTGTACATTGTTTCTGTTGAGTGACAAGACTTTTGTCTAAGCAGCAGCTTGCTGTACTAATTAAATAATTAAAAATCAAGCCATGATCATTTTTTATTTTGGTAAAATAAGCGTAATCTTAAGGCCTTTGCCTTTCACATAAGGCACGTATGATACCAAATGATCAACTAGAAGTCAAGTTATTATTTGTTGTT